AGAGACATAATGGAAACAAACATAAATACTGGTATTCATTGAAGTGTAACTGATAATAACTGAGAAATATGAAGTCTTACCTTTCGGAAATACAGTTTTCTAGAAAATTGAAAAAAAAGAAAACAATTTATTTTACATTTGAAATTGTGTTGAAATTAATGTGAAATTTCTTTTGTTTCCTTCTTTTCTTCAACATGAACCCAAGGTGTTGTACCATGTAAGGCTGGTTTCAAAAGTTTAAATGAAATATTTCCTACATCTAAAGCTGGGTTTTAAAAAGTTCCCGAGGTCATAATTTTTATTCTTACCACTCAGTCTTTTAGTAAGGAGAAGTGCCAATCCGAGCAAGATGACTCCCACAGTCACAGCTGCTCGAACCATCAATGTCATCTTCCCTGCATTAAGATTAATATTAAGATGAACCTTTATTGAGAGAAGAGATTTACATTTACCTGTATACAGTGTTAACATAAAGGACATTTACCCCACAAGAAGAATTTGCTAGATGGTGTAACTCTGGGATTTACCGGTTCTCAGGCGAACAGTGTAAAAGCTTATTAGAAAGGTGGTGCTATAGGAAATATTGGGTTACAAATGGTGCTATTTTGATTATTTCATTTAAAAAAAAATTATACCTGTAACTTTATCACCAGATGCTGGATTCAAAAGAGTTGGGACAGCAGAGGTCAAACTACCTGCAGAAGTGAGAGTTATACCATTATTGGAGAATTAAAAAATGATAAATATTCAAACATTTTCTAAACAGTCAGCGTGAATTATTGAGAATTTGATGAATTATTAAACCTGTCTCTGGTTTCACTGAAGAAGAGACAGAACCAACAGGGTCAACTGGTGTGCCTTTAGTCTGGCCTGCAAAATAAATTAAAAATATTTACTAAAGTCACCCCTGGAAAGTAAAAAAAATAAAAAAGGAAAATATTGAATATACTGTAAGAAATCTATCTATCAAACTAACAAAAAAACGTATAATTGTTGATTCAGTTTTTCTCTATTTGGTTCTGTTTGTAACCCTATTAAACAAGTTAACAACTGAGATATCAGACCATGCCAATTTTCTTGTGCTGATAAAAATATTAGTGGATGAGAGTAAAAGTCACTCACTGCGTACGGTGATGGAGGACGTCTCACTGTGTGGAGATGGAGAAGTTGACCCTCCATGTTTTACAGTGTAATAACATTTCACTTGAACCTCAGCAGGTGATCTCTGCTGTGATATCAGCAGCAGCTCAGTTCCTGTCAGAGTCTTCAGACAAGGGAAGACTCTAGTTCCTCCACTTAAAGTGTAGAAATTACACTGAGACACAGAAACAGAGGGTGGAGTCTGACAGTGCAGAGTGACTGAGTCTGTCTGTGCGATCACCGGGGGATTCACTGTCAGTGTCGGTGGACGAAGAGCTGGAAATATAAGGATATGTTCAGTTCAAAAGCTGAATATGTAATTTGTTTAAACCATAGCTGTTGGTCATTTATATATAATGGTAGAGAATGCCTATTGAAAACCTAAACAAGTGTTGTGCTCATAGTGAGTATTAATAGTGTTGACTCACTTTGAATGATGATGGAGGACGAATAACTCTCAGGAGATTTATACAAGTCACACTTTTTCTCTAAAATAAATATTTGTATTGCTGTGGATGGAAGTAAAAGTCACTCACTGCGTACGGTGATGGAGGACGGGTCACTGTGTGGAGACGGAGAATTTGATCCTTCAATCTTTCCAATGTAAGAACATTTAACTTGAACCTCAGCAGGTGATCTCTGCTGTGACATCTGCAGCAGCTCAGTTCCTGTCAGATTCTTCAGACAAGGGAAGACTCTAGTTCCTCCACTTAAAGTGTAGAAATAACACTGAGACACAGAAACAGAGGGTGGAGTCTGACAGTGCAGAGTGACTGAGTCTGTCTCTGTGATCACCGGAGGATTCACTGTCAGTGTCGGTGGAAGAAGATCTGGAAATCGTGCGGGAAATATGTTAAATGTTATCACTCAAAAGCTTCAATAAGACAATGAAACCAAATGCTTTTAAATACTGAATAATTAAATTGATATGAAAGTATTCTTAATGGGGAACAACAATATCTAATGTAGGTGATGGAGAAAAATATATACTTTACAATCAAATAGATTATGTCAAATCATTATCCAACCATAAAAAACCTGGATATTAAAGACAACCGATCAGAGACTGACCTTGTGCTTGATACATGTGAAAGCAATCTGTTGAAAAAAGAATGAATACGTGAGCAAGGTAATGTTAACAAATGAATGACTTCAACAGCAACAGCAAAAACGTGAAATTTGAGCCAGTGTTTCTCCTCCCAAGTAGGAGCCACAATCAGCAAAGGGAAAAATAGGCAACAAGAACACTTGATATAAACAGTTATCTTAAATATAAGATTAAAACATTTACAGTAATTACATATAAGTCCCTTTAGAAGCTTTCAAACTGTACAAACTGTTTGCTCACAAGCCACCACCAAATCTCTCTAAACAGTTTTAAACAAGTGACGTGTGGGTTAGCAATATTAAAAAACATTATTTGCTTGTATGCATAAGTTAATGAGTTAATAATGAATAAATCAATAAGAGGTTTAACTTACACACGAGGATGACAAACAGCAAGCGTCCAGCCATGATGAAGCTTGTGTTTCTGACTGTCTGAAAGTCTCAAGTGTAATTTATCAAAGCGCTCAGGAAAGCCACAGCTAGCTTTAGACGTGAATAACATTAACATACAGGCTTCAACTTTCTTTTGAAGTACCTATTATGTTTTTTTAGATTTCTAATACCAAACATCATGCTGTGTGTGTGTGTGTGTGTGTGTGTGTGTGTGTGTGTGTGTGTGTGCACTGTGGTTATATAAAACCTAAATAAGTATACGCAAGTGTTCACTAAAGGAGTTGTTTTTAGTTCTGTAGCATTGCAACACGTGATAAAAGTTATATTCTTTTATATAAGACCTCACTTTTCTTTCTATTATTAATATATACAATTATACATTCAATTTAGCCGTCACATCATTCTAATTTCTGCTCATAAAAATAATGATGTCACTTATTTTTACATATATTAACCTGAACATATGAAGGCAAAGTTAAATGCCAACGATATTGCTTGGATTTCAAAATGAACTGTGCAGTCTCTCTCAGGACTGTTGTTGCTTCTCTGCTGTTGTCATTACCATTTTTAGGGAAAAGAGTGCAGAGAGCAAAATGAGCTATTATAAGACACTTCTCATCAATGTGGGGGAAACTTCTGAAACAATTGG